AGAGCCTAACCTAGATTACAACTTACTATCAGGAACTTAGAAAGAATGAATGGAAACATAGAGATAATTTCAGAACCCTATTTTCCAAAAAAAAATGATCCTTCAAGTACGATACAAGCTAAATTAACGAATTGTGCATCAACCAAAAGCTCAACTTCAAATTCCAAATATACTTCAAATAACAATAACGATGTCTGACTTTGGCACTGTTGCCTAGAACACCGCAACTTTACTTAACTTACAAAATCAATTTCTTCAAAGGACTTTCAGTGTGGCATTCTTCATCTCACTAAATATGCAGGCATAATTCCTATCCTAATCAATGCCTTTTACAAGAAAATTTCATTCTAAAATGCAATTTCCTAAAGTTTCCCTGTTTATATGGCAAACTCATAAAGCTAATCTACAAAATCAGTCCTCAGCTAGCACAAGGGCAGAGCGGACAAAGTTCAAAGCAACAAAATAAAAGTGTTCAAAACATCAATGATGGCCAAAATGATTGTAATTCTCAAATGGAGAGATCCATGTTTATAAAATGCCCCGAAATCCCAAAACCAATTATTGTGGGCCCAAATCTCTATTCAAAATATAAAATCTCATAAATTATAAATATTAAAATGCACAAGTGAAATCTATCCCCTATAACTTAAAGTAATAATCCATCCACCATTCGCAACAATCTATGGATGAAAATTTTAAGAATAACCTCAGCTCACAAAGAGTTATCTTCTCAAGTGTTTCACTATGTTCACTCTCAAATACTATCTCGCTAGTAAGGACGTGCCAAATGTCCCATAATAGGTTGTTTTACCAGCAAATAGCACCACAAGTAAACATTTATAACTGATGTCCTCTAACCATGTAATTTCGCTACTAAATTGCACCATTAAATTACGGTCACATCCAAAGCCTATAAGTTCCCTTTAAAAATTGTCAAGTTGTGAAAAATAAGATGCATTTCATAGGATATAAAGCCCTAAATTAGCTAAGGTCAACTTCAATTTGTCCCCTTAAACAAATATTCACCTAAATTTCTATAAGGTCCAAAGCAAAGAAACAACCATATATGTCGACAGAGACCCTTTGATCAAGTTAGGTTGAACCTAAGTAAACTAAGATTCATGACAATCCGAGATGATTGAACCATGAGATTTTTATAATATTCGTCTTCACCCCTCTCCCACGTTTTAAGCTAACGACAATAAATTTCTATCTACTCTAAAACCCAAAAGTTTACTGATACTATACACTAAAACATTTAACATCTATCTAATGACTACCTTTAATTGAAAATCCCTCTCATAACCGAGAAGGATATCAATTAACTATAGAGGCTTCACTTACAAAAAATCTGAAATCATCTAATTAAATCATCATAAAATAAGGGCAAAATTTCTAAATATTGTCTTGTTGCAATTTAATATGCCTTCCAAAAATTTCTTTAGAAACAAAACTCTGCCAATAGAGCAAGTCACAAAATTTTGGAGCCCATTGACAACATCGTGATAGGCTGTGAGTCTAGAGACATAGAAGGAATGGAGACATTAAAGAGAAAACTTGATACTGATGGTAAAAAATATATATTAGACGAGAAACAGTGGAAGAACAAACAATCAACAAAGAAAATTTGATACCATAAAACATGGAAGACTCTGGACTCAACCAAAGAAACAAGGCAAAAGAACCCATATGCTCAATTGACAACTCCTACAACTTCCTGACAACCATGAAAACTAGCATTTATAAATGACAAACACCAGAAATTTAGGATTTCTTAAGACTTGGTTGGCGGATAGTACACTGTCTTACAAGAATAGAGAGAAGATTTTAAGTCATGTGAATGGCTGTTATGGGAGTCATATATTTGGCCAGCACCTGAAGGGATTTCAATGGTAATCAATGTCTTTCTTGCGTTTAAGTATTTGTTTCCTGCAGGGAAAAGAAGAAAGACTCACCGTAGATAGAATTTATAATAAATTTATTCAGCAATGAAGTGAGGAAAATGGGTACATATGACCTGATAGATGCACATGCAATGTTTCTGGTTCTTTCTTGAAGATTTACAAGGTGGCTGACTTGTACCTGTCCATGAAAGAACGTTTCTTGCTGGAAGGGATCGTCCCTTAGGGTTGTGTAGCAATGCCACTGGATCTTCCTTTGAGGTTGTGTAGCAATTGGTAAAAAGGCAAAAGACCTGGGCGAATAGATCTTGTGGTGACTGGAACCCAACAATCAACCTTTGGGGCTGGTTTTGTGGTGACAGGGAGACAGAAAACAGCAGAACATGAACTTGGACGATGGCTGGACTTTAGGAAGGTGATTTTCAGCAAGAAAGAAGCCAAGAACCTAATGGCCACCTGATTCTTGAACGTTGGTTTGCTGGAGATCAACCTAGCAGTGGTTGAACAAATATTCCAAGGCCGAAAGAAGGGAGATATCTTGTGGGAAAACTGCTAGTGGTGGAGTGGAAAAACTACAGCTGGCGGTTCTCAGGGATGAAAGAGCTACTGCTTGAGGGATGATGAAAAGAATGATGGAGGAGAGCAAAAGTAATGGGAGAATGATGTTGCTGAAGTCCTAGACTCAACTACAAACCCTCATTCCTCTTCTCTCAAGGTTTAGGGAAAATCCATCCCAAGGAAAAGGATCTTTCCCTCCCTCTCAGATTTTCAAATCTGAAATCAAAACTCCAAAAAAACCCCTTCCCCTACATACAACTTTGGTATTTATTGGAAAGATCCTAAAGACTAAAATATACTAATTACTTAACAACCCCTAATAAAAAAATAAGAGAAAAATGACTATTAAGTAATTTTTTGTTGATAGAAATGATCCTCCTATCTTTATCTTTGTCAAAACTGCTCCATGAACTGAAGTCAAAGAATAAAGCAAACTAAAGTACTTGGCATGAAGTTACATACTCCAGACATGGAATATTTTTATAACAATAAAAATACAAATCAAGCATATTGAAACAAATAGTTAAGTGGAATACAATCTTATCAAAAGCCCCATTGAATTTAATCATAAACTTGGAGAAGCTCTAAAAGACACATGAGTACAAAAAAATCTCCTCTCAAAGACTTCTAGAAAGACTTAGCTACTTATCACATAGTAGACCCAACAATTTTTATGCCGCAACTATATAAGTCAATTCATGAAACTTAAAGAATTGCATCTTAGAGCAGTATATAAAACTCTACAATATTTGAAGGGGGCCTGAGTAAAAGAAATTTAACTCAAAAGGTGGAGGACCAAACTTTTTGAAGCTTACGTAGATGCAAATTATGGACATCCTACGTCGGCAGGAGGTCATCAATAAGACATTGCATATTCTTAGAAGGCAACTTCAACGCTTAGAGAAATAAAAAACGAGATGGGGTAGCAACTAGCACAGAAGCCAAATTTGGATCTATGGCACTAGGAATTTGTGAATTGCTATGGATAAGAAATTTTCTTGGAATATTAAAAAGTTGGACTCTACTGTAATTACAAGACCACCACCAATGTGGCACATAATCGTATGCAACATGATCGTGCCAAGCACATTGAAGTTAAAAGACATTTTACCATAGGTGAACACATTGCAAACATTTCCACGAAAGGATTACCTAGAATAGTCTTCCAATAGTTATCAAGTGCGCTTTAAATAGATAACATTCATTCATTCGCTTGAGTGTTGAAATACCTTACTCATGCTGTCTCCCAAGACTTTCGTCTTGGCCCAAGGATTTCCTATGACTTCCACGCATCTAGCACAATTTCTATCTCAACTACAACATGTCATCTCCCACTAAGTTGGCTGTAAAGCTAGCCAGGTTTGCTTCCAAGCACACCAGATAGTCTAGTTTTCCTGATTTCCTGCTTCATTTCACCTTTTAATCCATGAGATCATTGCTGCCACCTCACCAAACCATAAGATATCATGATGTAATTAATTTTATATATTTTTTCAAATATTGATTTTTGTATATTTCATATTAGAAGTTCTCATATGGTTGTATAAAATTATAAATTATACACAAATGTTGAAATGAAACACAAAACAAATTCTCTCCAATTCTTTTCAAGCTAAAACAAAAATAAAAAACTAAGAGAATAAAATCAACATTTAAAAAGTTCATTTGCTTGTATCAATGCACACATCTTTTATTTTCTATGAGAATAAACTCTGCCATTTGGATCAACAAGTCTGTTATTTAATATAGTAGAGAAAGGATCCACTGTTTGATTTGACCTAATTCTTAGCAAGTAGAGGTATCTTCAAGTTCCTAGACTTCCCCAAATACTCTTGCAGTTGGATTGTTTTCTTCCACTTCAACAATTATTAGTCAATTCCATTCCTATTACAACATCAAATCCATTGGGACAGAATTTTCCACCTCAACACTCAAGTTGAAAAGTTCATGCCACAATCAGTTCATGAAATCATACAAAATTTAACATTCTTTGCATGTTATTGCTTGTTTTAGTTTCAATGCCATTTTGAGTCCAATGTTGTCATTTTTCTATACACTTTATTTACTATGTAAAAGTACGTTTAAAGGCCTTTTTTCTTTTTATTACTATAAATAGCTAGATATGTCATCTGTAAAGGGATAAGATTGAATGAATTGAATTTTCTGCCATGGCAGATTGATGAGAAACCAACACCTCCAAATGATCAATTCCTTACCTATTCCCTCCGCTGACGACCTCTAACAATATTTATTTTTATCTGTTTCCAGCCACATAATAAGCCACTAAGCTCATAAAATTCATACCTACGCTGCTAGCTACAATGCTTCCAAGCAATACACTGCATAAAGCAGGAATTTGTCAGACACTAACTATGGTGGGAAAAGGGTCCTAATAATTACTGGACATTAATAACAGCATTGTTGCCAACTTGTTACCATAAGTTTTGGTGATTTCAAGATTCAACAAAATTAATACCCAAAAAAAAATTGTTTTAACCATAAGCCAGATCTGATAAGTCTCATAACAGTTGTAATTCAAACCTGATGAAAGAGGAGCAGCAGCTGAGCAAGTGCCAATAATGTTATCAGAACTATTGTCTGGTTCATCCTTGGCTTTAGGTGTGCCATGAGCCACAGAAGATGAATCCACATAAACATCAGAATATACTGAAAGAGATGTTGCAAGAGCATTGATAGTTATCCCTTTATCATTAGCTTCAGAATAAGATAACGAAAATGGCACATCCTGCAATGTTAGCGGTTGTTGTGACTCCGATATATCATTCCTTTGTTTGTTTGAAGCAGCATCATCGAAAAAAGATGATATTGTAGCTTCCTTCAATTCAGCATAAGGTTGGAAATCAATGATCTCAGGTGATATATCAAAAATACATTCAGAGCTGCTATTAACATCAGATGCATTGGTATGGTGCTCTTTATCGTCACTGAAAAGCAAGCTATTCTGTGAAACTTGAATGCAACTTCCATTGTTCAGTTGAAAATCTGTTGCAGAATTTTCAAAATCTGAATAAAATGAAGATTTTTCTATCACTAAATCCTTCTTGGAATCAAGACTATCAAAAAAGGACGTCCCACAATCTGTCTTCTGTTTCCCTTCAATCATTGAGACAACAACAGCCGTCTCACCAGCATCAACAGATACTGCTACCTTCCCAGAGAGAGAAGGATCTACTGTCCATCCAATTTCAGCAGTTTGTGGAGAAGAATATTTTAAAGAGCTTTGTAATGAAACTGCACCTAACTTTTGTGGCACTTCATTGTTTATGCACCTATCAGAAACATAAACTTCACAAATTGTACACCAACTTATCAAATTGGACAGATCATGCCTTCTATGAAAGCAATTTGTAGGAACCAAAGAATTAGAATGTTCCTCCTTAAAATCTATTTAAACAAACATGACCAGGAAGAATGACAATTGAAAAATCACATGGTGCTTCATAAATTACCTTGGGCACAACCATGAATTTTCAGATGTAAACTCAGGATTAAATCCCACACAGAAAGCATGATACCTGTTTCGATGGAAATACAATAAATCTAAGCAAATCAGGACATCAAGTTAGTGAAAAAAAATATAAAAAGCTTAAGGACAAAAGGAGCATTCTAATAAGTGGCCGGTTGGCAACATAGAAATATTGATACTAAATTCAATTCCTGCCAAGAAACATGTAAAATCAGTCTCCAACACTTCCATTAAGATGATTGGGAAAGAGAGAGATAGTAAAAGAAAATTACAAACACGAAACTATTTATAATGGAGGACATAAATAAAATATTTAAAAGGACATTTATTGTTAACTTAAAAGAGCACTTAAACGGAACTTAACAATAAAATGTTGATAGTACAGTGGCCGGATCATTACCAAACATATGGAGTGGTCTCACAGATCCTGAAAACAACTCATGGTGGGTTAGGTTGGTTGCTGGACCCTACAAAGATGAGTGAAAATAGGATTGGTGGTGGAGACATCAGAGCATGAAAAGTATATCTGAGGCGTGGTCATCGATCTACGGCCATGATCGAGTCGGTGTGTTTTGAGTTATTTTATGTATTTGTTTTATTATGTTATTTGTTATTTATGTTGTAATTATTTTTTCCGTTTTACCCCTTGCTTAAGAGAAGTCGTCATATGTAAGCCCTAAGGGCAAGGTCGTCTTTTATCATTGAGTCCTTTTTGTACGAGGCTATTTATAGCCCTCATGTTCTTCTTCTAAAGTTAATGATTGAATGACAAAAAAAAATTGTGCTATTGCTTGAGTTCTTGAGAGATCTTGAGAGTGTTCGGGGAGAGAGCAAGAACCCTAGGAGAGGGAGATCGGATCACCCACCAAGCCTTTGCCGCCGGCCAAGGTTCTCCCAAGCCTTAGCCGCCGGCCACTCAACTTCCCACCACCACCACCGCATAAACCCCTCCCACTACCCAAACCACTGGCCAACTTCATCCCCATCACCCTCACCGAAATCCCCTTCAAGCCCACCTAACTGCCGGCCCTCTTCTCTCATCCTCCCTCCAAAATTCAAATCCCACGTTGAATCCTTTCCATAAGCATCTACTCTTAATTTGGGAAGGTTTAGTTTTAAATTTCAAAGCAATTTGAATTTGAAAATTTCTTCCCTAAATTAAGAAACCTATTTTAAGAAAGTTCCTAAATTAAATTCCATTTGAATTTCAAATTCAAATGGAATTTAATTTAAACCTTTCCTAATTCCAATGCCCAAATTAAGAAGCTGCAAATCTATCGTCATCAATCCTCTCCAAGCATTGATTGCCGCCGGCCCCTATTGGGTGGGATTAGGAAATTATTTCCTAAAATCCCAAATTCCCCTTTTGGAAGCAATTACAATTTTCCCCGCCTCCCTTTTGGCCGAATTCTTCCCTAGCCCCCACTATTTAATTTATTTACATTAGAGAACTTCTCCAATTGGAAATCAATTAACATCCTCCCATCTCTCCTACCCGCCCCATATCTTGCTCCCAATCCCTTCTCTCCTTGCCATTAATTCTCCCTCTCTCTTTGGAATAATTTCAAATTTCAAACCCCTAAATCCTCCACACTCAAATCTGAAATTCAAACTTCAGATTTTGATTATTCTCCTCTTCTAACCTAACCCTAATGCCAACATGTGGCTCCCCACCTATGGACGGCCATCTCTCCGCCTCTTTCCCTTTGGAATTTGCAAGATGAGTTCCTCTCTCCATAGGAACCTTCAAGGAAGTAGCTACCATCGTCTTCAATACATCAAGTCTTGAGAGAATTTTTTCCTCTCTAGTTGAGATTTCAAGGAATATAACGACGATCACCTTCGACACCTCAACTCTTGAGAGAAATGTCTCTCTAGGTAAATCACGACAAGGGTGGACTTCTTTCCCTTTTAATTATTTTCCTAATCCCCTTATCTTGTAGGTGATGACGATTCACAAGAAGCCGTGCCTCACCTTTGACTAAACTTAGTAAACGTAGGGTTTTGTTTCACCGTTGCTCAAAACCTAATAAACGTAGGGATTGAGTGCGTCTTATTTGCTTCTAATCTTATTGTTAGATTAGGGATTTTTGTTGAAAGCTATTATATTTGCATGTTGTTGATTTCCTATGTTATTTTGATAATTCAAAGTTCTTATTTTGCAACTTAGCCTAAACGGAAGTGACCGCTCTTACGTTTTATCTTGTCATTTTATTTTGCTAATAGTTCTAATTTTTATTACTCTAATCAATAAGTTGTGCAAGCTCTTATCAAATCATTTCAAGCATTCTAGTCCTACATCAATTGGCCTGCGAGTTTCAGGCAGCACATTTGGCTATGTCCTGGTTCAACTCATCATAATTTAAAAAATTTTAGTCATATTTTATAAAATATGATATTTATTGATTTAGAGAAATCAAATGCAAGAGGTTGTACCTTGGTGTATGCTTTTTGTTGATGATATTCTTCTTGTTGATAAGAATAGAGAGCGGGTTCAAGGTAAACTTGAATTGTGAAGGTCAACCTTAGAGTTTAAAGGCTTTTGCTTGAGTAGATCTAAAATTGAATATATATAACGTAATTTTGTTAATAATAGATCTAGTGGGGGATTGTGCCTTTGGGTGATCAAGTCATTAATAAGAGTACACATTTTTAATATCTTGGGTCTATTGTTTAGAGTATGGTGAAATAGATGGGGATATTATTAGTAGAATTAAAGTTAGATGCTTAAAGTAGAGGAATGCATCGGGTTTGTTGTGTGATAGAAAAGTCTCTCTCAAACTTAGGAAAAAATTCTATAAGATGGTGGTTAGACCTGAAATATTTTATGGTGCAGAATGTTGAACATTAAAAGAGAAGCATAATATTAAGTTAAGTGTTGCAGAGATGAGGATGATCAGGTGGATGAATAGAGAAAATGTATGAAATAAGTATATACGTGAAAAGGTTGGAGTAGCTCTAGTGGAAGATAAGATTAGAGAGAGTCGTCTTAGATGATTTGATCACATAAAACGACAGCCTTCCGATGACTTGGTTAGGAAAATAGATGTATTAGATTTATCTTATGCTAATAAAGGTAGAGGTAAACCTAAAAAGGCTTGGTTAGAAAATATTAGAAATGCTCGTTCTTAGATTTAAATGAGTAATTTTAACTCTTAACAGGACACAATGAAAAAAAAGATTTATGTAGCCAACTACACAGTGTGATAAAGGCTTAATGTTGTTGCTGTTGCAGAGAAATCAAATGCAAATGGATGTTACTTTCAACTTAGTCATACATATTTTTACCAATCATATTTTATAGAATATGACTAAAATTTTTAAAATTAAAACTAAAATTATTATTAATTTTTTTATTAAAGAAACGTTTAATTCAATTTTTCAAAAAAATTATATTTAATAAATATTAGTAAAAAATGACCAAAATACCCTAACATTTAACACTATTAACTCCAACATTGGATATTATGACCAAAAAGGTTCCATTTTGAAGAGTTGAGGGACCAATTTGGTCGGTCAAAAGAGTTGGGAACCATTTTGGTTCCTCACAAAGAGTTGAGGAACCATTTTGATCATTTTCTCTATTTTCTTTATTATTCTAATTTTCACCTATTTCAACAAATCCCAACTATAATTTTATCATGAATGCATACACTAAGATACCTCAATGGTGCGATGTAAAGTTCTAACAATTGTTAATGTTCCATAATCTTAACTACTTCAATATAAATTGCATACACCTTTTACATTAATGCACATCAACTTAATTCGCATGATGCTCTGCCATTTGTCTTCCCCAAATAGGAAAAAGCAATATGAAAAAAACATTATTTGCTCTATATTTTAAATTAATTGCCTTAGCATAACAATCACATCCATTATGGATCTTCCTAACATATGGATAACCGAAGCCTTAAATATCAATGTAATTTTGTCTATATTCCTCCTATAACTTCAGTGTATGACACCTACGTTTAATTTCCCAATAATCAAAATAAGCATAGACATTTACTTAATTATTGAAAACTAGTACAAAATTGCTAATTCTCTAATCATTTGACATCAATCAATCATCAAAACGTCATTGAAAATTCTTTTTGAAAAGTAGGACAGCCTTCTCATTAGAATAAATAAAAAAATATGTAAAGCGGTAACAAGAAAAGATAGAAAACAACAAAAGAAGAAAATCAAAGATAAAAGGCTACATCAAAAACTCGTCAAAAAAGATCTTAAGTGGTGTTCGACTACTTGAGTAATTCCATTGTAGATTTCAAAAAGGAAATCCTCCTTTGTTTATCAAAACCAATCAAGAAATAAGCTAAGGAATCAATGTCAGATAAAAGAGCTACATAATCCTTGTTTTAATTGTTCAAGACTCAACAATTGTATTATTTTCCAAATGATTCAGATATTTGCTAAAAAAAGACCTTCCAAATGATCAATTGTCCCTCCATATTATAAATGTTGAATGAATGCAACACTAAGTTTAGAAATAGGAACTCCAAACAACAAATATAATTTCCTCCAACTATTATAAATAACCCAAAAAAATAAGTAATGAAAGTTGTATTTATGAGCTACATTACACATGCTACAAACATCAGAGTTAATAATGCCCAATTTATGAAGATATACTTTGCAAGGTATCTTTCTCAGGTAAATCATCAAGCATGAATAGATATCTTGACCAACATAATAAAATTTAAAATCCAAGCGATATATGAAGAGACACCCCCATTCATCAAGAACTGGTACAATTGCAAATAGAGTTCATTGTGAAATTACCATTAGAGAGCAACCATCAAGGAGTACTATTGAGATGGAATGAGGAAAGTCAAGGAGTTTTGTTTCGTGTTGCTCTATTTCTCAACCAAGTGGATTTCCTAGTTTACCATATTCTATGGATTATCTGCTAGAAGATTGAAAGGATCTTTATTGCAACTGTAACAGTGGCAGTTTTATTTCCTCTATTTATTTGATTCATGCAGGTCCTCCATTTCAAGAATGAAGTAGCTCCTTTCTTTTCAAGTTCCAAAAATTCCTCTATTTTCCTTTTTTTCTATAGATCCCCTGCTTAGTTTGCAGCTCTTCTTGTAGGTGTTATAGGTCTTGCGGTTTTGAGCATTGCAACTAATAGGACTTATCAGGATCATACAGAGTTCACAATTGATTCCTTGGATGATTCCTTATTCTATTGATATTCCAAGAAGGATTATAAATAAAGATCTTAGGCATACAAAGAAAATAATCCTATGGTTAACAAAGTTCCTGAGGGAGGCTATCCCCTTTTCTAAATATAAGACTTTTTTGCTGATATCATCCCCTTTTGTAACGGTGTCTCCATTTTTTTCAATAATTTTTATTGGTTGAAAGCATATTTAACTCTTTTCTAAATTATTATAAAATGATTTTCTTTCTTAGACAAAATTTCAAATATGGAACACATAGTAAGGAGCTATGATGCACCGACACTTCTCCCCAAAAAGGCGTGCAGTGTCGGACACCGTATCCGACACGACACTCGTCCGACACTCCGACACGTGTCGGACACGCCGAAAACGTGTCCAATTAAAAAAATATTAAATAAAATTGGACACGCGTGTCAGACCCGCGTATCTTAAATATTTTATGAATTTTTTAAAAATATAGTTTCTTGTATTTTGTGGGATTTAAACTAAATTTCTTATTTTCTATCCACAACACCAAATCAACATCCGCACTTAATACCCATTCATCAAATATTCTCATTTTCATTCTTCTTTTGCAGTGAAGGTATTTTCATCTCCTCTCTCGGTTACTGATAAACGACATCGATGCATAATTCTCGACATCCTAAATACTAATCATTTTAAGCACAAATTCTAGTTAAATGATTTATTATTTTTAAATTATTTTTAAAATTATACTTATTGAATTTTTATACACTTTTTTTAAAATATAAAAATTATAATATCGTGTTCAACCCGTGTCCGTGTCCTATATTTTCAATAATTGACATGTCCCGTGTCCGTGTCGTGTCGTCGTGTCCGTGTCTGCGCATCATAGGTAAGGAGTGGTTGGTTAGAATTTTCAATATCTAAGGTGGGGAAGCGGGATTTGAAAGTACCCTAAAAAAATACAGAAGACTAGTTCAGATTTGTAAGGTTTTTGTAATCCTTAACTTCCTTATCATAACTATTTATGATCTATGTTATGAATTCTTAATTTTTATCTGTTCATGTTGAGTGAGTTTTGTCAAAATTGTTAAATCTATTCTTCAAAAATTATTTTGAATAATCATATTCATGTAATTTTAGCTCTACACATTTTTCTTCTGAATACTCTACACTATTTTTATCAACACATCTAACAAGCATATTTTCTACCATTTATTGTATTAAGTTCAAAATACTTGAGTTTATTTTCACTTTTATCTTCAATAGATGCCACTCCAATCTTATCTTTTCTAATTTTGCCACACATCCATCTTAACATTCTCATTTATAATAGACTCAACTTTTATATTAATAACAATGCAAGGCAAAACGTCTTTTTTCTAAATTTGATTTGAAAATTTTTAGGTTTTCATTGAAAGTAGCAAATACTTCCCTAGACAATAGAATGTCCTACATTAATAGCTCTGCATTTTATCCTTATTAATCCTTCACATTAACTCTATCTATCAGCCTTATTCACGCAACTTTGATGCATCTCATAGTTTTAAAGAGAGAAAAAGTTTTAAGGGAAAATTTTAAACAGAGTTGCACGAAATTAAAGAGTTACTAGCTTCCTGAGAAATGATGAGTTTATCTTATCATACAATCTTTGCTAAGAACTTTAAAGCCTGACAAAATTTTTTTAAAAAATAGAGATGACAGAAGGGTTCTCTGACTCAAACCTTTTGACCTTTGCAGATCAAAGAGGTGTAAGTATACTCCTTTTAAATTCTTATGAATAGAGAAACTAATAGTGAAGCAACCTTTACCAACAAGTAAAAGATATTAGACCCAACAAAAAAAGTTACATGGTACAAACTTAAAGGACCTAATGGTGATTTACCCTTGGGCTTAATCTAAAATAAACCATGATCATTTCTAAAGATCCAGCAACAATCTTACAATTGCAGTAAGTCTAGTTTCATATATGTGAAATTGAATGTAAAATGAAATGAATGTTTGTACCATGTATCACACGAGTCACAAGCAATTGAGGTATCAAAACTTAAATCATCTTCAGTTTCTTGCATCATACTTCGTATCTTGCAACCATCATTTTCTAGACATTGCACTGCCTGCAGATATAAGAGCAAAGGTGTCCAATAAGCAGACTTGAACTTTGATTGATTTAGCTTAGATGTAGTAAAAAAAAAATAGAAGAATGATTACATCTTCACTGATGTAGTATGAAGGAAATGAAAGTGTGTTGTTCTTCCCCTGAAAATACCAATCCTCATTCCTGAATTAAAAGCACAGAAGTTAAAAACTAACTGCCAAGCGAAAACAATAAAATCCATCGCTTAAATAGTATTAGGATCTGTAATGCAAAGATAGTTGTGCCCGCATAGGATTAAAATGTATCTGAACAAAATTTATGACCAAATAAAAAACAATGAAAAGCATAGCGACATAGATATGACATGATACAAACAGTCATAAAACAATCTTCAAAAAAATGAGACAACGGATGGACATGACACTTAAAAAATTATACTTTAATATTAATAATTATTAACTCACAACCCTCATAATTTTAATAGACCTTTTAATTAAATACAAAAAATAAAAAATAGTGAATGAACTATTATTTTAATCAAATAGTAAAACAAAAGACATTGCGTTATTAATCAAATTGACCGCGAGTGATGGTCTGAAATAATATTAGAATAAAAATAAATTTGATTAAGTATAGATTCACGTTAATATGATATGTATCTAACACCCTTTATGAAGTATTCAAGAAGTGTCAAATTTTTTTAAACTAAAATGAGGCATTACAAGGTGACTCCTCAAAATAAGAAATCCTGAAATGTCAGACAAGACGTGACACGATGGCCATTTGAAAATTCTGGTGCTTAATAGCATAAAACCTAGATGTCCTAGAACATAACCAAGAAGAATCCAGCTAGCAGATAGTTTGAAAACAGAGACCTATACAAGTACAGGCTCCCTCATCTATTAAACAAAAGAAGTACCATGAGCTCTTGAAGTTATACTTGAATTTCATGAAGGCGTACTAATCAAATAAAAATTAAATTATTACTGCATAAATACAGACAAATTTGTTAGTTTCTCGCACAACAGTTTGAGAAAGTTGTTATTGAGAGAATATTGGGTGAGCCCGGCTCAACATCAAATCATTATGCCGAGCCGAGCTAAGCTGATCTTCCTCAAATGCCATCTACAAAGAAATGAGGGTCCATACCAAGACCATAAAATCAAGTTGAACGGATCCAAGACATCATTTCTTGTGTAAAAGTAATGAAGGGAATTGGAGGACGAAAGAGAAATGTGAGAGAGAGAGAGAGAGAGAGAGAGAGAGAGAGAGAGGATGGTGGCTTAGGAGGAACACAATCTCAAAATTTATTCAATAATCAATTGAAATCTTGATCTAACCCCAACGGACCTTATTTTTGGTAAGCAGGCCCTAAAATTACAAGCAACAACACAATCAGTAGTAAATAACACCTACAAAAATAACAAAGAAAGAAATAACCCTTCTAAAACAAAACCCAAACTATCCCAAAACAAAATCCTAAAAAAATAAAAATGAAATATATAATTAATCGCACCACCAATATTGAATGTAAGTTGGGATAGGCAGCCATCATTAACTCATCTAGGATGGGAATAACTCTCCTCTAGAAAGTTAAACCTAATGGTGCTCATTGAGAAGGACAAGGGAGATACATTGAAACTCAGCATACCCAACAAATCAACTGATAGTACATGACCCCTCTATCGGCTAAAATAATGCTATCCATCTTAAGGATCCAGTATAACCACATCTAACATATTCAACTTAGCTAAGACAAGAAAACTGGGGGCGAAACTAGAATTGATAGTGTGAGAGATAATGCAAAAATTACTTTGGTAAAGATATGTAATAAAAGCATCAAAAGCTTAACCTCTACATGGAAATAGAACCACAATATTGGAAGTTAGAATAATATTCATAATATTCATATCAACAAAGCATAAATAAATAATGCATTTGGTTCAAATTTTAAAAGTATTTTGTAGTGCATAAGGTACGAGCCTGGAATTTCTTGAAGCGATTATGCAGGAAGCATTCAGGGTAAAGATGAAGTAACACATGATTACCTAATATTCTAGTGACCTTCGATAAGCATCTACAACTGATTTATAAATTTCATTTTGCAAATAAATTTGTGTTATAATAGCATAATGCAACTTATGCATATGCTCAGCAAATGACGCAACAAAATTATAATATAAATGCATCGCTAAGGGTGTCTACAGATATCTTTGATTATGACCTATGCACCACTTCAACCAGTGATTTTATTATAGTAGTGTTCCAATAGTTGTGATAATATAATACAATTACCATATAAAATCTCCATTTCCTAAACTATATATTAACCATACATGTCAATGATGCAAAACGGTACTGCGCAGTGCACATACGGTGCTATTTTCTAGGCAACACACATCAAAATAGCACGCACTATGCATGGATAATGGCATATGGTGTAAGGCAAAAATATTACGCGCAATTTTCTTAACAAGTTATAAATTTCAAATTATAACTTATAATTATTTTTTTAAGGTTTATAAACTAAAATTGCAATTAAATATTAATTAATTAATATTAAAAATAAAATAAAATATTTAACTTTTTTGTAGGCTTTAAAGCTATCATTTTTGCTATTTAGTGGAATTTTGACTAAATTATACTTAAATCCTGCTCAAATCTATTGATATAAGATTTTATAGGATTTAAATTTGTCATTTTTTATGTTTGACAGGATATTTATACTTAAATTTTGTTCTAATCAATCTATTGTTTGCTATTTAGGCTTCATTTGAGACGGCTTTCTTACTGCTTCTTAAATCATTTTTTAGTGCAAAATTTTTTATTTTTGTATTAGAAATCTAATTTAAGAAGCAGTAAAAAAGGAGATTGTGTTGCTTTTTTGAGAATATGTTGATTGTACACATTGATTCGATTTCAAGTGTAGTCAAATTTTGGAGTTGGCTAAATACCTTTTTCAACATATCAATTTGCTCGTGATTGAAAGGAGATTGTGTTGTTTTTTTTAGAATATGTTGATTGTACAGAGAAGACAACTATGTTTTCAAACAATCAACTCTCTTCAGTCTCTTCCCATGCAGTTTCTAGCAGGTTTCTGCTCTGTGTTCAAATTCCTGACAATGATCACATCATGACCATTTTCCTTGTAAAGAGGTATAAAAGTTGTGAGAGGCCAGAGTCGAACCTTCAAGATAAGCAGGAGCCCCTTGGTTTAGCATCATGATCTTTTTGTGAATCACTTCTCTATAAACTTCAGGGAATAATTCTCAAATAAATTGAAGGATTTTTTCCAAATATCCTAATGCGGACTTCTTCAATTTTTTTTAATTCAAGGACTTTTGATATCCCATCTTTCTCAATAATCTATCAATACTTAGTTTCATCCCGTCCACAGTTCTTCAAAGACATCCAATTAATTCCAATAGCTAGTAAGAGTATTGCAAACTCTGATGCACCGACACTTCGTTTTTAGAGGGCATGCAGTGTCGGACACGGACACGTGTCCGACACGGCGAGGACATGTGTCGGACACGTCATTAGTGTGTCCCATTTTATAAAAAAAAAATAAACTGGACACACGCGTCCAGCTATTATATAATTAAACAAATTTAAAAAAAAAACCCTAATCCCGCTATTTCATATTAGTCGATTCACGCCCGAGTCTTCATCTTCGCCTTAATCCCGTATTCCTATTCATATTCATGGTCTTACCGAGCGATTGAGGCGAGCAGCGGTCGGCTGGAGATCTTTCTTGCGAGCAGCGGTCGGCTGGAGATCTTTCTTGCAAGCAGCAGTCGGCTAGAGATCGCACCCTTGGTCTTCCCTTCTGGCCGTAAGCAACAAGCCATCCTTCTTAGTTTCTGTGTGCAGCCGAGGTAAGCCGACGCCAAACCACAGAAAATTTTTCAAACCTGTAAGTTGATTTCGCCATTTTTCTCCATTCGCCATTTATCTTTATTTATCAATGATTCCGTAAATTTGTGATCAGAAGAGTATATTTTTTTTAAATATTTTATTTATTTTGGATTAAAATTATTCTTACAATAAAAATTTATTTATTTAATGCGCTTTTACTGCCTTTTGCGCTTTCACTGGCAAGTCGAACCGCGCCAGGGGCAGCACCCCTTAGACCCCCGGCATAGCTGCAAATTTTTAATTGTTTTTTAGTCTGATAGTCATAACGCATAATCCAATAGTTCTTTAATTGATTTTTAACTTTGTTTGTCAATTTTTAATTGTTTTACAATACGCCACCCAATTTATTAAGCCTTTATTTCTTCTACTTCACCAGTGAATTTAAAAGCAAAATGAGCTTTAGTGCTGGTGGTAGTGATTCAAAAGAGCCATCTGTAGAAACTAATAAGCCATTAAGGATTCATGTTACAAAGTTAGGAAAAAATTTTGAAGGAGGGAATGTATCATTCAAATGCAATTATTGTGGTGGCACCTACAAAGGATCTTATTCTAGTGTGAAAGCGCATCTACTTAAGATTTCTGGCCATGGAATTAAAATGTGTCATAAGATTACTACGTCACAGTTGATTGAATTGAACAGACAAGTTGATGAAGCTGAATATAGGGTTAAAATGGCACTTCTTAAAGAGATACATTTGCCATCTATCCATGGCTTATCCCACACTTCTTCCTCATCTGTTAGAGTTGATCATTCATTATCATATAGAAGTGAATATGATTCAAAGAAAAGAAAAGGAGTTGCCAGTAGTGCTTTAGAGAAGGCTTTTAACATGCAGCAAAGAGAGGAATTGGATAGTGAAATTGCAAGGATGTTTTTTTCAGCTAGACTTCCTTTCAACCTTGCAAAAAATCCTCATTACAAAAAAGCATTTATTTTTGCATATAATAACAACCTTGCAGGTTATGTTCCACCTGGCTACAATGCATTAATATCAAAATTATTGGAAAGAAAAAGAGCACATATTGAAACATTACTTGAACCAACAAAAAGTGTGTGAAAAGAAAAAGGAGTCACATTGATGTGTGATGGTTGGACTGATCATCAAAAAAGACCACTCATTAATTTCATGGTCGTTACAGAGAATTGCCCAATGTTTATTAAAGCTGTGAATTATGAAGGAGAATACAAGGATAAATATTTCATTGCCAATTTGATTAAAAATGAGATAGTCATTATTGGGCCTTCAAATGTTGTGCAGGTTATAACAGATAACGCACTGGTGTGTAGAACTGCATGATTGTTGGTGGAGCAAATTTATCCTCATATATTATGGACTCCATGTGTTGTGCACACTTTAAATCATGCTCTAAAAAATATTTGTGCAGCAAAGAATACAAAGGAAAATGAAATCATCTATGTTGAATGTCATTGGATAATAGTGGTTGCAAATGATGTTGTTTTGATCAGAAATTTCATTATAAACCACTCAATGAGAGTTTCAATGTTTAATGATTTCACACATTTGAGAATGTTAGTCAAACGGTGAAGTCAAATTGGAAGTGTAAACGGTGAAGTCAAATTTCTATTAATTGAAGTCAGTTGTAACCAACAAAACAACACAAAACTTGAAGATTTGGGGAACTAAATATCAAAATATGCTAAAAATAATAAAATAGAATTACCAATAATTACTATTGAGTACAAACATCATTATCAGCACTATCAACCTAATCACATTTATTTCAGGTTGAAATGTAGATTCAGCATTTCCAATCTTTACCAGTAAGATCTGCATAATCTGTAAGTAATTTTCATATAATCATTACTTTGAGATAACAATTCAGAAAAATGACTCACCTGGAAGGAGGATGTTCCTCTAATCTGATACTTCTGATGGTGTCATACACCTTTATTCAACACAGACAGAATTAGATAGCAACTTTAGTAGTCAGGTAAAGGATGCATAAACTCAAAAAATATCAGGTCAATATTACTCTAGATGTTTAGAAATAGGAACTAATTTGCCAAATACTGAATCCTCACTAAATGAATATCAGAAGCTATATGGATAGTAAATAGGGCATTAGAACAAAGATAAGAAGACCAGCCTGCATATAATCACTCACCGGAAGACACGTAATATGTTGAAACTCATTCTTGCAAATTGGGCAGAGATTTGTGATGATAGCCCAGTTATCAATGCATGCAAAACAAAACCTGTTTGCACGAAGAAAAAATATTTTACAAGCCTCTTTTTTTGCTCCCAGCTGGTAGCACCAATAAGAAATTAATATAAATTTGTTATTATGAAAATATGCTAAATAATATACAAATCAAAGGTCTATTACATGACGATATGGGAGTAGAACTGATATCCAAGTTTTAAAAGCAGGAACATGGCATTAAAAAAGGGGAGAGAGTAGTAAATCAACTAGAGTTTGATGGTGATTGAACCACAATTCAATACTAAACCTCAATGTTAGCGAATAATTAATACAACTTATTCTTGCATGTCACGTCCTTCAATCTTGTTTAAGATGACGGGATGGTTGGAATTGGTATGCTTAAAAAGGTGAAATAGAAATAGGGTAAGATGGGTTTGTATGGATGGGTAACCATTGAAAGAATGAACCGATCAGCTGGTAACACAAAATATATAGCACCAGTGGAAATACATGATAGGGCTGAGTGAATCTGTCTTTTTGTTCCTTTGCATGAGATGGGATGCCGAGAAGGAACTTTCTCCTCTGATATCTGTATAAGGCGGTTGAGGGAGGAGGTGTTGTCAGGTATAGTGATGAGGATATCGAAGATCAACGGCTACGATCGTGTCTATTTATTTTCATGTATTTTATTTGTTATTTGTACTTTTCCATTTATACCCTCACTTGAGGGCTTTGTTTTATGTTTGCCCTAGGGGCAATTATGTCTTTTATTTTTTTTCCTTCATGTATTTGGCTATTTAAGCCTTCTCCTTCCTCTTGGAAAGGGGATGATTATTGAATGAAAATTTGGCTCTTGTGTTCTCTTTGTGAGTTCCTTCTTGAAGATCTCTTAGTGAGTTCTTTTCTCCTAGATCTCTGTGTGAGTTCTATGGAAAGCCCAAGGTGAGGGCAAAAGCAATCCCCGCCAGTCATTGGAAGAGTCCGTGGCTCGTGGTCTACTTCCACCATCCCAATTCTCCTTATCCCCCATTACCCGCCGGCCTGCAGGCCTTGCTGCCGCCTCCCCTCTAATCCGCCCAGACCGCCGGCCACCAGGCCGCCGCCTCCTGGCCGCCCCCTTGCCACCCTCCTCTAGCCGCCGGCCCCCCTTACTTTGAATTTCAAATTTGAAATTCCAAAGTTTTATGAGCATTAAATGTTTCCTAATTTTTCTCCCTAATTCATGCAATCAATTTATTTGAATTTCAATTTCGAATTTGAAATTCAAATTAATCCAATTGATTGTCTTCCTATTAGGAAACTCCTCTTTAGAAAACTGAAATCTTAAATTCAGATTTTTTGTTAAAACTGAAATTAGATTGTGGTCCCCACCTCATTAATACCCAAGCCTCTCTCTTTCTTCCTATGGCCGGCCACCACATCCTCATTGCTTCTCTCTCTAATTGCCACATCACCACCACTTAAATACCTCTTTAATGCCTCCTCTCACATAGTTAATTCCAGATTTTTATCAGTTTGAATTTCAGATTTCTCTCTCCTTGAGTGGGAAATTAAAATAAAAAAAAAAACCTAAAATTGGAAACGGATACTCCCCTCTCCTATTCACTCTAGATAGCTCCCCAATTCAAGGGCCTTGAGTGGGAATTTAATCTCAGCTTTCTCTCCACCATTACTGCTAGTTTACTTCCTCCAATTTCTCTACAATCTAGTCCACCGAGATCTGAAAATTCCCTTCAAAATTTTATTGGAAATCTGAGACTGTTTTCCCCTCTCCCCCAAATGTCTGTTTGTTGTCCTGCACCAGAAGAAGGCTGAAAACAGAGTTCCTTCTGGAGTGATCCTACTGTCCTGGAGTGATCCTGTTGTCCAGAAGTTTGAGACGTCTTCATCATTGAATTCTGGCCCAATACCTCTGCAAAACTGCTGCTCCTTGAAGGCCAGATTGCTTTTCACATATTTCTGCATGCATATCTACACATTATCTCTCAACCAAAAGGTTTCCATGGCCATCCAGAATTCCCTAGCTATTCCAGGTTGTTGTCCAGACTATTGAGGCTAAGTGGATTGCTGATTTGAAGACCCATATTTGCAAGTCATCCAAGAAGCTGTCAAGCACCACCTACTTCCGATCCAACCAACAAAGCACCACTGGAACGTCGTATTACTTCATTCCTTGGGTGAAACTCTTTCCCTAACGCTCTTATCTTCCTAGTTTATTCTTCGTTTATGAGTATTAATGGATTCATGAAGATCATGTCAATTATTCGCCGCTATAACCTAGTAATATGAAGAGTTGTGTAAGGGATCTTCTCATACCGGCTAATCTCATTGTTATTATTGGAATTTATTGTTGGAACGATCCATGTATGCAATGTCGGATTAAGTTGGCTATCTTTTTTTTAACTTTACTTTTATTCATGTGATTTAACCAAAGCTAAGTGCCTTTTAATATTTATCTTATCGTTCAATTCCGCATAAGATCTTGCTTATTATTGCCTCTAAATCTAAGCGTGCAAACTTTCATTAAGAAAATCATTTTCGCATGGGATTGTTTCACATCATATAGAGATGGAGAGGAGAGGAGACATGCTTGGGGGAGGGTCAGAGAGAAAGGAGAGAATGAGACAGCTAAGGGGAATATAAGGGAGAAAGGTTAGAACAATCAGACTAATCTTTCAATTTTCCCAAATCCCAATAACATAAGCGCCTAATACATGCTTAAGCAGCTTTTGTGGGGGTAGGATTCAAACACACACAGGAAAATGCACCTAAAGAGAAATTCGAATAGTCAATGCAATCCAAATACAATAAATGAACCATAAAATAAAAAAGTAAAACTCAAGATTGTTAACAATCAAAGAGCAATTCAAAACATAATAGATTTTTTCGCTTTGAAGATCAGAGCTCAAAAAAACTTTTTTCCATTAATTGAATGAACGGTACATATGACAAGAAATATTATGCTAATTATCAACCATTGTAAAATCAAAATTATGCAATAATCAATAGAACTTTAAGTCACAAATTAACAAAGAAAATTATTAACTAGTAAGTAATAGAGCACATGTGCAGTGTAGGGAGCAAGCAGCATACGATATTAACCCAATGTTGACTTTGCATGGTTAGAGATCTGCAATATGAAGTGATGGTGACAATATAAAGTAATAGCAAGCCAAATATGAGCCTCAAATAGTTAGCATTGATTTGTGAAATTTAAAGGGTAATGGCGTCCGTCATTGCAAGCAGCATTACAATCCAGAATAGATAAGGATATCAAAGAGGTTATAGAATGATTTTGTGGCCAATGAAATGCATCTAGCCGATAAAGCATGAGAAAATATTTTATATAGTGATTAAAGGTATAGCACTTCAAGAGATGGCTACCACCTTCAGCAAAATTGTGGAATATGATAATCGCAGGTGTGTAAGCTTTTGGGATTGCAGTGGAGTGACTAAACAAACATTGGGCATATCTAGTGCATGAAGATCCCTACTCTAAAATAAGAAGTACATTCTCAATTTTGAGCTCACAAAAAATTTTTAAACTACCATCCTCATCAGCTCCAAAGACACTAATGGGGTTTTCCACAAGGAGCTATCATACAAACCAATCCACTGGGTTCTCATTTCTCAAATGGGTCGCTCTAGATGCGATAGCCAAGTGAAGTTCCCTAGCCTAGGTCTAGCAAGGACAAATTAAGATGGCCTAAACCAAACCACCCAATGGCAGGCTCAACCAAATGCCACATATTGTCTTCTATTAAAGCTATCTTATTAACAAAACATGATATTTTTAGGATGTTATTAGTAATGAATATATATATATATATATATATATATATATATATATATAAATATATGTTTGAACCCATACAGAAAATCACATAACTTTTGAGTGGCAAATCCAGTAATCTTAAATATTTTATATGTTGTAATGTCCGTATCAATGCTTGCACTTTAGAGCAAACAACAAGTAATTTTCATTAGTTTAAACATTGATGTAGGCATGTTATTGAGGCACACTAAACTTGACTTAGTCCATTGTCTTTCAATCAAGCCAAAACTTACCAACTCCATCGAGGTTACATATCTTCAAAACAAGCATTACAAAAAGATGGTTCTATAATAGTAAAATGATTAACTATGACAAGTGGCATAAAAGCAAGTAAAGTTTGAAGTTCACACAACACTTTTATATATTAACGCTGTGCTCATTTTGTTTTTTCTTGATAATGCCACTAGCCAAGAGTATGTGAAGCATTTCAAAAAATGCCCAGTCAAGCCCATAAGTTATTGAGCAGCCTGTTGGATAATGATCTATCAAAAAATAAACAAAAAGGTCGCAAAATATAATGCCAAAAACTGAAAAGTAAACTGATAGCCTTTAATTTTAGTAACTCTAAATAATTATACGATTTTAAATATAACCTTTTGTCTTAGCATTGAAATTACAGTTTAATAAAGTGATAAATACAAGACTGGACTTCAATTAAGAAGGTATAGTGAAAGTACTGTTTATTTTTCTCATGAACATACCAATGGTCACAACAATCAAGCACCCCTCTATCAATTACAATGTCGATGCATATCCCACATCTCTCTTGTTCAAAGACTGAGTCAATCTGGATAGAAAATAAGGATCTGTGAGTATAAAATAAAATCTTTTAAAAGTACAAAATTATGAAAAAATTTCAAATATCCTCATCTAATTTTAAAAGCATTTACTTGAATAAAGAAAAAACAGATGAACGTAGAGATTGCTCAAATAAATTGTGTGCAAAGAGTAAAAAAATGTAATTTATTTGAAGTAATGGATAAATCTTACCCCTTCTTTTCAACAAAGTAATTCTTCAAAACTAACAGAAGATCATGGCAACAATGAAATATTGTAGATATTCTAAAGGCAAAGTACTTCATGCCAACTCATAGTCCCATGAACTACTATAATACAAATACATAAATGAACAAAACACCAATTTACAAAATTTAAAGAGCACATTTAACTCATTTACAACACCCGCCTAGGAGTTGCAATAGAATGAGAAACATATGAGATCCATTATGAATTACATTTCTTATATAAAGCTAATATATTAAAACAATTCAGTATAAAATTCAATGTTTCCAAATTTGGTCATTTCTTTCATAGAATTCAGCTCTTTTGCCTGTGTATGACACTAAGCTCTAGTCAAAGAGCATTGGCTCCAATCCTAACAAACTGTGGGAAGGGACTTTGCTCCATAAATTGATCTATCACCTCGAGCAAAGATTTTCATTTCCAAACTCTCATAAGCAACTCAAGTGAAAAAAACTTAAACTTAGAGGGCAGTGATTCAGCACACAACACACCGAACTTTCACATATCACATATACAAATTGCTATATAAACAAGTAACTATGCTTCTACCTGAATAACCTTTCATTTCATAAAATATATATATATTATGTGAAAATTCAAAGTAAACCTCCCTAAATCACATTGAAATATATTCAAATTTTACAGGTTTCACATTGCAGCAATTCGCTATCTCATTTTTCAAAATGACATTGCATGTCGTCTATGATGCACCGACACTTCTCCTCAAAGAGGCGTGCAGTGTCCGACACGACACTAGTCCGACACTCCTCTGACACGTGTCGGACACGCCAAAAACGTGTCCGATTAAAAAATATTAAATGCAAATTGGACACGTGTGTCCGACACGCGTATCTTAAATATTTTATGAATTTTTTAAAATATAATTTCTTGTATTTTGCGGGATTTAAACTAAATTTATTATTTCCTATCCACAACATCAAATCAACGTCCGCACTTAATTCTCAATCATCGAATATTCTCATTTTCATTTCTTTTTGGCAGTGAAGATATTTTCATCTCCTCTCTCGGTGACTGATAAATGGCATTGACGTCTGACTCTTGACGCCTGAAATATTAATTGTTGATTTTTGAAACTTATCAAAAAAAAAAGCTAATGTACATGCTCGGTACCGCTAGGTATTGCTAGGTACATGCTCGGTACCGCTCGGTACATGCTCGGTACAAGCTCGGTACAAGCTCGATACCGCTCGGTACATGCTCGGTACCGCTCGGTACATGCTCGGTACCGCTCGGTATCTTTACATACAAATAACTTACGAACTTTAAAAACAAGCAGAACTTCAAGTATCGTCCTCTTCTTGTTGTGAGAGAAATTGGAGCACATACTCATTTATTCAATCAATGAAGAGGAATAAAATAACTCCACAACGAGCTGAAGATTTAGTTTATGTGCATACAAATCTTCGTCTTCTATCAAGAAAAGCCCCACTTTATATGACATGTGATAACAAGATGTGCGATGTTGCTGGAGATGGGTTCGAGTGTCTTGATGATATGAGATTATTAGAGGTTGGAAATCTTTCTCTAGATGAACCAGAGTTTAAAGCAATGATATTCAATGATGATGATATTGAAGGCCAAAGATCAACCTCTGAATATAATTCTATCATTCTCTCTATTGAGTAGTTGGGCCTTCATGTTATACTAAATAATTTTTTGCTTATATTTTGTGGTTGTAGTAGATATTTTGTACTAAACATATTTATGTTATAATCTAAACAAGTTATCATGAAATTAATTTATTATTGCTTGTCATTTTTAATATAATTTCATCTTAATTTCTATATATTATATTAAAAAATTATTATGTCGTGTCCACGCCGCACCCGTGTCCTATATTTTTAAAAAATGTCGTGTCCCGTGTCCGTATCGTGTCGTGTCTGTGTCGGTGCATCATAGCATGTCGTATTCATGAAAAAGAAAAATAATACTATCAAGAGACTCAATTGTCAAGATATCTAGAAAACATGCTTTAAGGTGCTTAAAGAGATTGCCAGCATCCCAACCAATCAAAAAGTTGACAAAAAAAATTTTATGTGTGGTGATGAAACACAAGTGTTCATGTGAGATGTGGAAAACAATATCTTTTTTCCAAAATGTGATGAATGCAACATCTTAGATCATCAAAATAACAAAGATAAGAATATAGTTGCATTTATACAAATAAAACATTGGAATTAATTTGTTCACTTCGTCAAAATAGAAAATTATCTTGTCTTTTTCTATCAACTAGAGGGAAACAAGAACTTATGAGTTGGGCATGCAAAAATCTTGGCTTTTTCTATCAACTAGAGTGAACCAAGTACTTGCTGATTGAAACAACTGAAATTAGAAACAATGACCTAAACTTATGTTGTTATTTCTGCTAGTACTTTTAGAAGCTTCAAAATATACACAAAAAATTGTGCATTTTCATATTTCATGAGTTCAGTTTTCAAACAGAATAGTTCATAATCCATTCTAAAGCCCCATGATTATGATGTAACAATAATTGCAGTGATATCTTGCGCTCAACACAGCAACAAGCAAAATATGTTACTAGATAACCGGGGAAGTTGAGATTTCTTGGGGTTATTATAGGAGTTCTAATTTGTATAGTTAGTTCATATTCCAAGTAAGAAAGGTATGCAAGTATTTTGCTCTACAAAATGATGAAAGATCTGTTCTGACTGAACACAAAAGTTGACTCATGAGTTGTGGGGTTTTCTTATCATACTAAAACCAACAGACTTTTTTGCAGAATACTAACTTCTGAGCCAAATTAGCGTTCTCCTGTCTCAGAAACAAGACATGGATTCCTTTCTAAAGGGTAACATAGCTGCCTAGGACACTCGAGAGAAAACCACTTAATATCAGTGAATATATCAACTTATTACTATGCTGCATTTGAATTGATGTATATATCCACAGAAGCAATAAAAACTAATAAAGCACGAGCATATATCAATCCAAAAAAAAATGGTTACATAAGAAAAAAGAAATAAATTTCTCAAAAAAAAAATTCTGTCAGCATGCAGATAACAACAAGGACGAAGGATTACATTGCAGTCTTCATCTTCAATGCCTATTGATTCTGATTCATCATCATTTCCCCATTGCAGGTCCATGCTGTAGCCAAAAGAAATATTAAAATAAAACAAAATTAATGCAGCACACATTGAAAATCAATAATGTCTATGCAGATCAGCAGGCAAAAAAACACAATTGTACATAAACATCAGAAAATTCATATGATATTCACAGTAAGACGTTAAAATTTAAATTAATAAACGCGGCACAATTCACTGAGATTACTTGAAATAGATGATGCTAGACATGCAAATAAGGAATGCAATTTCGAGGTGAAATTAAACAAGATAATTAATAAACAAGCCTGCCCGCACCGAAAATTCCCACTTACCAGTCGAAACAAGAAATATGGCGTTTTTGGCTCGTTAGGGCTTCTTACCGCGGTGAAACAAGATTACGCATGACAGCGGCTAAAACGAAGAGGCATGGTAAAAGATAGAACGATTACCTGAGACGAAGAGATTGGAGTAGAAACGAAGCTTCTTCGCGGAATTAAAATGCGCCTCCGTCTATCGAGGGTTTTGCAGGAACGCCGCGCTGGGTTTTCGAAACTGATGGCCCGAACGGGTAGAGAAACGAGGACGAAAGGCTCCCGTCGATATTTCTATGCGGGTTATTTGAATCCGCCGCGTCCATTCCAATTTCCGATCAACTCTGATGATAGCATGCTAGACGATATATATAATATACGCGAGCGACAATTTTCTGGCTATCTCATTATGCCTTTATGCTCAAATAAAATTTTGATCATAATATCAAAATATTATGATTTAATTTTAAAATTATTTTTTTTATTAAATATACTACTTAAAATTTTTTTTATTTTGTGTTAGATTAATATTTAGATAATTTTTTATTATTCCGATCAATAAAGTTAGTAAAATATATTGATCTAATTATTTTTCAAATACTAAAGTCTAAGTTAATTTATTTAATTTTTTTATTTCTAAAAAAATGTTTTTTAATAAAAAATAACTTTGACTATTTTTAATATTTTAAAACAATTATTTTACTTCTAAACATTCATTGAGTGCTTCATACTCTACAGCATATCTAAATGATAGTGAAAGCATGTGTTCAATATTTTTCTTCGACTTCGATTTCGTTTGGGATGGCATTCTTATTGGTTCTTAAAGTAATTTTTTACTGCTTTAAGAAGCAATAAGTAAGTCGTCTCAAACACAGCCTTCATCTCCACCCTCATGCTTTTTTATGTCGAGCAAGTCAAAAGTATTTGCCAATTAAATGATTTTAGCTATGTGATTGACAGACGTTTGCGTGACAATGTCCATAATAGCTTTGTCGTATTTGAAGTTATGGAGGGTTCTAATCATCAAGGGACACATTAGTGAGGTCAACACAAGCATGTTTACCTTAGAGCCAATTATAGAAAATAGCATTAGCAAGTATGATGAACATGAAGACCACAAGGGAGCTAAACCAAGAATGTAAAAAGGTAGAGGTGGATCCAGCTTCTTTTTTTAGGGTGGGCAAAATTGTAATTAATTAAACAACGAACATAATGCTATCAAATTTATAAAAGAAACTTTTTTTATATAACTAACATAATGCTATCAAATTTATAAAAGAAACTTTTTTTTATCATTTATCTTTCAATAACTTATTTGTCTTCAAATTTGTACATAAATTACGTATTTATCTTCAAATTAGATTGATGGTCGAAGATCAGGATCAGCAGGGCTAAGTGCGAAAAGGTTCTTGTGAGGAGGGTAAAATATCAAAAATCCTCCTGTCATTATATTATTTATTTTTTGAGGGTGTGCCCACCCTGACATCAAGGGGGATCCGCCCATACAAAAAGGGTTTCTTCATAAACTAGATGCCGGTGTAGTAGATGTAAACAACATTATGATCGAACTTGTGATTGGACCTGGCCTAGCACTGTATCATGTGATCATCAAGAGTATATCAACATGATAAAGGGGCATGTATTTTCATCAAGGCGTAAGGGGTCATTGTTCAATACTTGAGAATATGTTGATTACTTAACTTGGGTCGTTGACATACATGGTCTTTAACTTCGCTAATGCTACCATCTCGTTAACAAAATAGTCTGCACTAATGCTACCATCTTATTAGAACAATGTAAAAGAGACTGTCACGTGAAAAATAGTTGTAATTTTTAGATATTGGAATGAACACAAAAATATATGAAAGTTCTTTCAAGTAAAATCTTTTAAACAAGTGACAATATTAAATATTATAAGGGCAATTTTTTTTTGCATGAAATTACATTGATGTAATTTTCTTTAACCTATACACCACATTAGTAAAATGAGGGAGTACAATAGAACCCTCAATGGAATAAAGTTTTCTCTAATATAGCTATGATTACTCTTGCAATTAAACTTTCAGTAAAAACTTCATGTCAGCTTCTCATTTAAATAACCATATAGTTTTAACTCTTTAGGCTTTGCTAAGATTTTATTTGGGATGACTTTGTTATTCTTTTCTAAAAACAACTTCTTAGTAAAAAAATTTTTACTAAAAGCTGCTTTAAAATGTAATAAGAAAGTTGTCAGAAACGAAGCCTAAGAGCGTTCATTAGAAGAGGCATTGATGATATTATCTTGAAAATATTTGGCTCTATTAAGTAAATTGGAATCGAGACATTATTACATGCGGAGTCCGAACGTAGAGTTGTGTATGGACTCTGCTTATTTACTGAGTATTTGACAATTTGTTAAATATTTACTGAGTATTTTTGTTAAGTATTTAATGAGTATTTTCTCCATATTTGCTGAGTATTAAATACGTAATAAATACTCAATAAATATGTTGTAAATATGCAGTGAATACTCAGCAAATATGTAATAAATACTCAACAAATACGCAGTAATATAAAAAATCATATATTGATCACGTGTGAGCATTTCATTGGAGTTCGAACACATAATGAGTAGAGGAATTATCAGAAAAAAGGGGAATTGCGTAACATATCAAAACATTTTGGGTTAATAAGTGCTATGTCGAGCTTTGCAATAAAACGGATTGTCCAACAGATTATTTAAATCATGATTGTGAAAAACCTGGATCAGGAATATTTAGAAGGACCATATTGAAAAACACAATTTTTTAGATTATCTAGTTTGGTGTGAAGTAATTAATTCCTGCCCGTTTTATAACTTAGTTCTTTAATGCAGTTAAAATCATCCAATAAAATTCAGACTAAGGCTTTCATTTGGGACGACCAGCTTTTTAATTTAAATTTTTTTATTTTTGAACTAGAAAGCTATTTCAAGTCCCAAACGAAGTCTAAGATGAATTTAATCGATAAAGGTTTTGTTTGGAACAACTCTTTCTAGTAAAAAATTTACATTTCAAGAAATCTTTGTACTAAAAATTTATTTTAAAAAGCACTAGAAAAACTATCGTAGATGAAGTCTTCAAGGCGAGAAATTATTATGAGCGGACACCGAACGTAGTTCTACGTCCGAAGGGGAATCACGTGCGGCCACGTCAGCGATACCAAGCTGCAGTACAGAGCGAATGAGTGACGTGACACATTCTGGCTGATCTCCGGACTGCATTCGGCATCCGCACAGAATAATTTTTGCTTCTAAGCTTTCCAAAGAGTCGTCCTATCTACAAAAATTGTTGATGAATAAGAGAAGAGGTGAAATTGAGCTTAGTAGGATTCCATTTGAGCCAGATCCTCTTACCAATGGCAAGGTTAAAATGAATTATTGCAGCTATCATAAGCACTAAAGTAGAATTGGGTTACTCATGAGAATATCATTAATTTGTGACTCTGAAGAGAGCTTTCTCTCAAAGAAATACCATGTTTCACAATAAGCTTTCTAGACTCAACAATTCAACCTTCAATCTTTGTGTTTATTGTGATTTTGAGAAAACCTCTGGCTAAACCTACCAAGAATATTATTGAGAGAAAGGTTTTGGGTTTGCTTAGGTCTCATGTTCAAGTCCCTGGTAAGAGATGAGAGGATTTTGGCAAAGAACCCATAGATGATAGAGCCACTCGCATTAATAGTAGAATTATCACACAAGCTTTAGAAGTGGTGAAATTATCCACGATCAAAGGAGTGTACCGAATTTACTTGCGACCACACCAGCACTAGTGCACCGGATCCCATCAGAACTTTGCAGTTAAGCGTGTTTGGGCAAGAATAGTAATAGGATAATAAGTGTACCCAATTTACTTGCCACTGGAGATTCCTTGTGAAGTCGAACAACAAAACAGACATTTAGGAAATTTCACCCATATAAAAATATGAAAAACCCAACATAAAGATTTCCATTCTCTTAATTGAAGCAAGCAGAGAATCACAAAAGAGCTTCTCACTCAGTGCATAGCCAACAAGTGAAAGTTCCTGTACTCTAACATCCTCAACAGTATAAGAAATCTCATCTTCAAGATTTTCTACTAAAAGAGAGTTGGAAATCACAGTATAGCGCAACTTATTTTGGTATATTAGTCTGAAAGTTTTGACCACGAACCAAGAGATCTTATATTCAATTCTTACATATGTGTTGTGTATGTAAATATATTAATTGGCTTAAATTAAAAAAAAAAATCACTGCATATAGAATTTTGCGAGGACAAGAGCGATTTCTAGTTTAGTTGAGAGGGAAGTGTCCCTTGCTTCCTAGCTCCAAGTAAGTGATAACTGATAACTGCTGGACAAAAGCAAAGAAGTGAAGCCGATTTCCTGATTGAAGTCCTCTAAAGTGGAAAAAGTCATTACGTGCGGTATCTAGACGCATCCAGAGGCCAATCCGGATACGCCACGTCATCTAATGCACTGGATGGTGTAGCGTATCCAAATTGAACTCCGGAAGCGTGCAGACACCGCACAGAATAATCCCTCCTAAAGTGGAGAAAGAGATGACATACAAGATTTTTAACTATCATTATTTTCAATGATCATCCATTGAAATTTAAAGGAAATATATCTCATTCATCCAACAAAAATAATAATTTTTTATACTTACAATTTCACAAGCTAATCCCTCCCATCATCACCACATTACATTAGCAGAACAAAATATAAATAAGTATATATAAATCAAATATAAAGCTTTTAATAGAGATAACCTTTTTGTTTGCATCAGTCCTCATAAGTTAGCAACGAACAGTTAGAACTCCCAAAGAAACAAACCCTAAAAAAAAGCCCAGAGACAATAAAACATAAAAACATCAATCCAAAAGAAAAACAAATAAAAAGAAGCCAAGAAGCTCAGGTCCGACCGGCTTTAGCTTTGACTGCCACTCGACTTGACCCTTTTCCTTTACCTACAAGACAAAACACCATATAATAATAATAATAATTTAACGAAGGCCATAGTATCCCTTCAGAAACGTAACGGATACCGGGCACACTACTAGCAGCCACGGGGAATAAAGCCGACACGGCCGCCGGCGCCGTCGAACACTACCCGGAAGCCCTGCTGCTGAATGTTTCCGATAATGGAAACGCCGCTATCCGTGCCGGCGAACGCAAAGCAGAAAGTCCCCCTTGTATCAACCGGAATCAGGTAGTTCTCCGCCGGCAGAGAGACGTCGGAACCGCCGGAGAGGTGTAACACTACCGTCGGAACTTTTACTTCCGTCTTCCCTGCGAGATCGTAACAAGTATCAAACAGCGAAAATCCTCCCGTGGACAGTTTTAGGCCTGACTCTGTCGCTCCGGCCTTGAACGCATCACGCAGCGCAGCATAGGCTGATCTCGCGAGCCGAGTCACTGAAGTGCCGGAATCGACGATCACCCCTCCCCTACCAGTCGCCGGATCCAGCCGCAACTCCGACTCGGTCACTCCGGCGACCTTTGTCCCCCCCACACTCAACCCCGTCACCTCCACGTAGTAGAAAGTGTCCATCTTCGGATTCCGCAACATGGGTGTGAACGCAGTCAACGGCAGCTTCGCCCTCGGTATGGCCGCGTCGCCGAAGACCACGGAAGAAGTCCGGGCGGTGGAGGCGGCGGAGGTCGAAGATGTACGGTCGACGAGGCAGTACGAGAACCGACGGTTGAATCTGCGGCCGGCTTGGGTCGGGAAGGAGAGGCTGCCGCGGCCAAGGCCGAGAAGGCCGGCAGCGGCGACGAAAAGCCCTTCGTTGTCATGGCCGCAGCCCAGCGCAATGCGGGCGACGCGGACGCCGCCGCGGAATGTGAGGGTTTCGGTCGCGAACTCGCCGGTGGTGAGGGATCCGTCGCCATAGGAAACTTGGTAGAGGCAGGAGAGACGACGAGTGTCGCATCCGGCAACGTCAAGGCGGTGGCAGAGATCAGCACCGCAGGGGACGACGGCGAAGGAGCTGGAGAGGTGGGGGTCAAAGATCGGGTCGGATTGAGTGTAACATCGCCGGCATGGAGCGCATTGTAGCCAAACCACGTCGCTACCAGTGTCGAGGACCATGTATGCGTACCTCGCCGGAGTTCCGATCCCGATCCGGGTGAAATACTCACCGCTGCCTTGAGCAAGCCCAGAGACCACCGCGCTGCTAAAGCTTCTCCGTCCCCGGCGCGAACGATTTCCAGAGACTGGCCCCGGTCCGATGGGAGCAGCCGATGCTAGGGTTTCCTCGATCTTTGACACCCGAGCGACATCGCGGTCAAGGCGGAGTTGGAAAGCTTGCTCCGGCGTGTGATTACCGGAAAGGAGTGAGTCGCGGTGGGCTAGATCGATGCGGAGAGAAGTTTTGGTTTCAGCGGTGGCGGCATCCTCCCTTGTTAGGGTTTCCACATTGGAGGTCCAGGAAAGGAGATCGTCGTGAGGGCGGAGAGCTGGGCGAATCTGAAGCGGCGTTACAACTAAGGATTGGTACTCCATGCCGGCGACCAGAATGGTGGGGAGGAAGAGAATGAATAGAGCTATGTTTGGCGGTTGTGCGGCCGCCGCCATGGTGGACGGTGACTGCTCGTCGGAGATCGGGCTTGGGCGAGAGAGTGAGTAAGAGCAAGTGCAGTGTGAGCGGTGTGGGAGTGCATGTATAAAAATAGCCGAGGCTGAGGGCTTCTCGGTAATTAATGTGGGCGGTTTGGGAAAAAGAAAACATGGGTGGTAGTTCGGTGGTGGAATAAATATTTTTAGATCGAAATGGGAAAGCTACCGTCATCTTCATCTCTTGGAAATTCGGTGAAAAAGCTCCGCTATTTTATTAAAAAATGATTATATAAAAAATTTGTTTTCTTACGAAGTTATCAATATTAAAAAATAATAAATTTGCATTAAAGATTATTAAATTGTTAAAATTTAAATAAAAAGTTAGTACATAAATCCAAACCTATGCAAAAGAGATATTTAGCTGAATGGCCCTCCAAAACCTGAGAAATTATTGTGTGGAGACACCTGACGGTCCAAAGACCAATCAGAACACGTCATGTCATCCAGTACACAACAGTACATGTTGCGTCCTAGAATATTTGCAGTGGTAGATAAATGTAAAATTTAATGTATTAACTTCGTACGAAGATTCAGCACATAAGTAAATAAAAGAGATGGTATAACGTTCATAAAAGACACCAGAGTTTTTACGCGAAAACCCACGGGGCCTGACCTAATTTGAATGAATCCACAATTATTTGCATTCGATTACAAATGAGGCCCTTCCTTGGGGGAAAGGTATTGGATAGATGTAGTAAATGTACATTATATTACATGATGGGAATTGGAAGAATTAGTATTGAAATGTTCGTTTAGTCTACATAACCATAGTTAGAGAGCGACGAAGGTCGGAAAGACCGTAGTCTGGTGACGGTGGTCGGAAGGTCCGTTGTCTGGCAAGGGAGGATGAAAGATCGTAGTTGGCGGGAGACAGTGGTTACAAAGACCTTTATCTAGTGAGGGAGGTCAAAAAGATAGTAGTTGGCATAAGACAGGGGGTTAGAAAGATCATTGTCTAGCAATGGAGGTCGAAAGGACCGTAGTATGCCAGATAGGTCGGAAGGACCGTAGTTGGTAGAAGACTGTGGTCAGAAAGGCCATTATTTGGCAAGGAAGGTCGGAAAGACTGTAGTCGACGGGAGACAGTGGTCAGAAAGATCGTTGTCTAGCGAGGGAGGTCGAAAGGATCGTAGTAGCGACGGATGTCGGAAGGACCATAGTCGGCAGGAGATAGGAGTCTGAAAGACCGTTATTTAGTGCTGAAGGTTGGAAGAACCATAGTTGGTAGGATACATGGGTCAAAAGAACCATTGTATGGAGAGAAGGTCGGAAAGATCGTAGTCGATGACAGACAGTGATAAAAAAGACAATTATCTGGTGATGGAGGTCGGAAGGACCGTAGTAGGTGACAGAGGTCGGAAGGATCATAGTCGGCAGGAGATAAGGGTCAGAAGGACCGTTATCTAGCAATGGATGTTGAAAGGCCTGTAATAGGCCATAGAGGTCGGAATGACTATAGTTGGCAGGAGACAGGGGTCAGAAGGATCGTTATCTAGCGATAGAGGTCGAAAGGATTGTAGTAGGCGACAGAGGTTGGAAGGACAAAAGTCGGCATGAGACAGGGGTTTGAAAGATCGTAGTCGTAAGGAGGTGGTCCGGCGGAAGTACGAGACTTTATTCGGTGTTCTGGTGGAACTTCAAGTTCCTTCGGTGGTCCGACAAAAGTTCGGGTCTCAGTTGATGGTCTGATGGTGGTTTGGTAGAACTCCTACCTCCGGTAGTGGTCCCACATAAGTTCGATGTCTAGTAGTGGTTCGGCTGAAGTTCGACATCTGGCGGTGGTCCGGTGAACTCCGACGTCGGGCGGTGGTCTGGCGGATGTCTGGCCTCAAGCGGTGGTCCTGACTGAAGTTCAGTGTCAGGCGATGGTCCAACAGAACTTTGACGTCATGTGGTGGATCGGTGAAAGTCAATGTGGTGGTCAAGGAGGAGCGAGGAGGCAAGTCCGATCTCTCTCTTGATTCCTTGTTGGGGGGGGGGGGTCCCTTTTTATGAGAAAGGGGGGCTCTATTCATAGATTTTCTAGAGTGACATTACCCGTAAATAAGAGGAAGATCAATGGCAAATTTGGAGTTGTTTGAATGTACGGTCGATGTTGACTCCCTTGATTGTGGGCCGTCTACTGGTTATTTGAATGTCTTAGTGATATCAAAATTTTGTGATCTTGGGCTCGTTGGATTCGTCTCGTCGAGCCTCTCGATTTGACTATAAGCGTGTCTCTTTTGGAAATAGTTTGATAATCCAAATTGTGGTTTGAACCTTCCAACAATGTTTTGGGTTTTTGATTTGGATCTATTTGGGCTCGAATTGAGTCGAATTTAGTGTCGTTGGGTTCATATTTTTGAGACATTGAGTTCGACTATAAGTTTGTTGAAATCAGAGTTTGGATGGTCCTGATTTTAGTTTTGGAAGTTTCTAGCTTGATTTTGCCTTGAGAATTATACCCGATCAAGATAATTTTTTAATGATGTATCAATACTGAGCACCGGTACTGATCAAAAAAGTGACGTGGCGCGTTCTAATTGGTCGAGAACGTCGTTCAATGTCTGAATAGAATAACTTTTCCTCCAATCCACTCAAGTTGGACACAAAAAACTCATATTTGGGCCTAGAATTTCAATCTATTTATTAAAGTAGACATATTTTGGTCTTCTTGTCTAGAATATTTGGGTCTAGAATTTCAATCGATTGACCCGGTGATTTTTTTTTCACCCAAAAGTAATATATTTAATATTAAAAAAAATCTTTTAATAATCTTTCTATTTTTATTAATTAATATAAACTATATAGTTGAAGAGTTACAAAAAATTTTCAATCAAAATGACTTATCAAATTGGGCTTGGGTCATTCACATTACATGTGGGTCAGATTCGAGTCCATCTTTTTGACCTATTTATTTATCAGACCAGGTTCAAGTTGTTTGCATTCAAATTAGATTAATTTCAAGTTGGCCCCTTACTTGACTCATTAGTCTGTTTTTACACCCCTATCTTCATAGGATGGTCGGACATTATTTATATATAATTACTACTAATTCGAATAACAAACCTTTTTAACAACCCATACACCCGCACTAAACTTGCTAATGCCAAAGATGCGACAAGATACTTAGGTTATTAACACGCTAGTACTAGCTGGTAACACCGTTTGTGGGGGCCTTACTAAGGAATTTAATTAGGACTTGTTTGTTTCGGCGGTTTTTAATCTTTTTTAGTTAAAAACGGCGAAATTATTTTTTGTCGTTATTTGGATGATACGCTTCCATAAAAATGATTTTTAGGGAACTTCATTTTTTACTGTTTTGAATTTTTTTTAATATTTGCTTCTCTCTTAGAAAAATTGATTAAAAATTATATTCCCTTAATCAATTTTTCTAACACTATCTTTTACAAAAGAAGAGGAAGAACCAAACAAACCTTTAGACTTTAGATATGACTAGGAATAAAAAACGTAATAACATAAATAAATCATTAATTAGCTTTAAATTTTTAGTTAGTTAAAAATTAAACAAAATTGTTTGAATAAACTAACTACAGAGAGCACCCTCCAAATTAGGCGACACGAAAGCCGGAGGACGCACGTGGTGGGTCCCAACAATTTAAAAGCGAGACGAGTACGTCATGGACTTACACAATGCTTTTTTTTTTTTTTTTATTAATTAGCTTTAAATTTTTAGTTAGTTAAAAATTAAACAAAATTGTTTGAATAAACTAACTACAGAGAGCACCTTCCAAATTAGGCGACACGAAAGCCGGAGGACACACGTGGTGGGTCCCAACAATTTAAAAGCGAGACGAGTACGTCATGGACTTACACAATGCTTGGAATAATACTTTTTAAATAAAAATTATTTATTTTTCTTAAGAAAATACATGATAAAAAAAATATAATGAAAATTAAATATAAGTTATTAAAATTATTTTAACTTTATTTAATTAAGTACTTTATATTTAAGA